GGGGGGGGGGGGGGGGGGGGGGGGGGGGGGGAGGGGGAAATTGAAAGGTGGGACTTTTGATGATTACAAGAAAATAGAGGAATAGAAGAGTTTCACTTGAATGTCATGTGTGTGAAGACATTTTATGGCGCAGTCTCTGTGTTTCATCCCTTTTATGGTGTTAACATTCAGCAGCCTGTTTGATGCATTCCTGCACTTCTTTTGCAATATGTTCCTTTGCTTTCTTAAGGTTATTGGGCGAAGACGAAGAAAAAGCAAAAGAATACAGTGCGAAACCAAGCATCAGTTCGCTAGGTCGAGCAGCTGAGCACCGAAGCGGAGAAAAGTCGAAAAAAACACAGCAGGTTGATGGCGGAAAGGTAGGCTCATCAAATGTAGCAGATTTTTAGCCTCTATCTTCTCATTTTGAATATAGTATGTGAAAACTCTCCATTTGTAATACGATTTCATCAGAATTTTGCCGTTTGGTTCATCCAATGTATAACAAGCTATATGTGCGCAATATATTTGATTTTTTCAGAAATTTTCCAAAATTTTTAGAAATTAGCAAGGAAGGAGGAAAATCGGAAAGTCACCCAGCAGTCGGGTGCCTTTAATCAGGGAGGTATCGAAGAAATGAAAGGGATCCCGAATAGTGCAGATATCCGAAAAGCCCCCTGATGATGATCAGCCTGCTGATAATCCTAACGTTCGATTTATCTTCTGAAAATATTAACAGCTCAACAATTCTCATGAAAAAAGTACCTGACAAGCCTTTCGCCGTTTCGAAAAGTTCTTATTGTGCGATGGGCAGCATCAGCTCATCCCGAACATAGCCGATTCTAGACCACGGTGCCCCTCTGCGCATTATCGTCTAGATGCAGTAAATAATTTATTTTACAAGTATTTTTTATCCGTTGCACATTTTTGGGTGCAAGTTTGTCCAGTAAATGTAAAATTGTTCCCCATTTTTATGTGTTTTGTGCTGTGTAACAGCAGTACAAAACGCATATTGTCACGGGGTTGTCTGTGTGTGTGTGTGTGTGTCCGCAGCAACTTGTCCGCAACTTTCAATTTGAGAACCACAAAAGCTAGGAAGCTGAAAATTTTGGGGGAACGTTCTCCACCCACGTGTGACCCCGCAAATTTAAATTCAGCCTCCCCGTACCCGCGGGTAACGCGTACGGCCCTGTGAAAGTTTTTTACGGGTAAGCTAATATCTCAGGAACCACGGAGTCTAGGAGGCTGAAATTTTAGGGTAATGACCCACTGCCCATACTCAACCTCGCCCATTCAAAATCAGTCTTCCCTTACCCGCGGGTAACACTTACGGCCCCGTGAAAGTTATTCACGGGCAAGTTAATATCTCGGGGACCTCGGAGTCTAGGAGGCTGAAGTTTTAGGGCAATGACCCCCTGCCCACCCTCAAACTTGCCCATTCAAATTCAGCCTTCTCTTACCCGCGGGTAACACGTACGGCCCCGTGAAAGCTATTCACGGGTAAGTTAATATCTCGGGAACCACCGAGTCTAGGAGGCTGAAATTTAACACTAATGACCCCCTGCCCACGCTCAACCTTGCCGATTCAAATTTAGCGTTCTCGCGCTCTCGGTTACCACCTAAGGCCCCGTGAAAGTTTTGGCGGGTAAACTATTAACTCGGGAATCACGGAAAGATATTCATCCTTCAAGGTTTCG